GGGGAGAGCCTCTTGGGGAGATGAGAGGTGGCGGAGGAGTCAGTGTTGGTAGTAGCGGGAGATCATAGCCTTGCTCCCCCTCGGCGGCGTTTGATACAGGGCTTTTGTCGCTCTTTCAGCGGTGCATTGTTGGGTGGTGTAATCCCCGTCGGATTACAAAGGGCTTCCCTTTTCATATGGGGCTCACCCAGCAGGCAGGTGGCTGCGGCTCTGTGGAGCTGTCAAGGGGAGGGAACCTCTTTTCCAGGGGAGGGGACCCCCAGTTCCTCTTACCTTCACAGGGGCTTTTTGCTGGGAGGCCAGTCAGGCGCAGGTCAACATGGGGGCAATTCTGACATGGGATTCAACTCGCCCTGACCCCGTGGCTTCCTGTAGAGAGGTGGCAGGGGGAAGGAGACCGCCGAGAAACAGCGCGAAATACTGAGAATTATTAAAATATGAATATGTGCTGAAAGGAAACTGCTGCTTTTGTGCTGTGTGGGAAATAAAAGTTTTATTTAATGGTTAAAATGCCACAGCAGGGTCATTTTCTACTTAAATTTAAGGCCTAGAAACATTTTTTATGATTCAAAATGTTGCATTAAGACTAATTTATGTTAAAATACTCCTGGAATAGCAATTAATGTTGCGTGCGTGTCTGTGTGATGTTAAATAATTATCTTGTGAGCTTGAACATTTTTTTTTTTTAAACGGGAAGACAGCATTAGTCCAACACAGTCTCGATTGATATCCGGTGGATTCTGTCGATGTGAGCAGTGTCTGAATGAGCTTCGGTTTCCTGATGGCTTTCCTTGCAGTGTTTCAGTAATACAGGATCAATAAGACCATTGTCAGGCCCACCGCTATTTCTATTAGTATTACTGCTGCTACCAATACCTTCTCTTACAATAATGTCAACCGTAAAAGCCCAGTTCAGTCCAGTCCATTGCTGTTCACCCTCTACTGGTAATATAAACCACTCATCCGTGCCCTGTCAGATATAGTGAGGGACCAATTTAGTGATGCTGCATTTAAGTGTTAGTCAGAAATAACCTAATTAGTTGAAAGCTTAAATCAAAAAGACCCATCAGCAAGTGTAATTTAAATAGTAGGAGAATTTCTGATAGCACAATTTGACACAATGTGTTATTCGTGGTGAAGAAAATGTGAATTAAACATTTTAAAATGAGTAATTAGGCTGTTATATCTTTTATTGTTGTGTGATCTTACGAAAGCATCAGTTTCATCCCCGTGGATATGTATTTTCTAATCTTTTAAGTGCAAGGTAATTGCATGCCGCTGGATTTCTATTACAGGACAGCATTACAGGTCCCCATTATGTTATTATTTTCATAACAAGGCTGTAAATGTATTACTTTAATTTACAACAGACCTTTTTCACAGCAGCCATGACATGAAACAATAGGTGTTACCGGTGATACTAAATAAAGTTTCAAACAAAGTCAATGTGCTGCTGTTGTACATTTTGATTTCATTTTATTGGAAAGGCTCTGCTACACCTGTGATTACCCTACTATTTCATGTCAAAATGTCTGCTGTGAAAAAGGTCAATTTCACAGCTTCTAAAATGGTGCTTTTAAGGCAGCATCTGCACAAAATGTAAATTACCTAGTTAACCCAGTGTACATTAAAATAAAACACGAATCTACACTAAAGTACCTTCTTGTCAATTATGTTGAAAAACGAAGTTTGTGTGCAATAAAATATTGAAATAAAAACATAAATACCGTGGGTGTAAAAAAAAAAAAATCGCAACTCTGATTTACGATTTTACACCTTCATTAACCAATTGGGAGAATATGAGTACCTGAATGCATCACCCGTGCAAAAGTCGTGGTATACATATAAAACTAACTTTTTATTGTTTAACATTAGGTGATAAATATATATATACTTACACAGAAATACTGTTGTTAGAGGAGAAACGTCGGCTGCCTTCAGAGGCCAGGTGACAAAGGCAGTTATCTTAATTTAACGGCCTCCAGATGAAGCCATCTAACGTTAACTAACAGTTCACTAACGTTAAATAACGGCTTCCAACCGCCGTTAAATTAGCTTAACCGTAGCGTTACATAAGCTTAGGTTACAAGTTAATTAGCCCTAATGTCAGTGTGAAAACGTTAACTTTGCACTTTAACTACAGTATTTGCTTTCAGGGAACCAACACAGGGACTTAAAATAGAGAATAGTGGCCATTTTATGGGTTAACGGTCAATTACTGTTAGCAGCAGGCTAGCTACAGGTTAGCAGCAGGCTAGCATAAAGTTAGCAACGGGTTAGCATTAGGTTAGCAACAGGTTAGCATGAGGTTAGCATAAGGTTAGCGCCTCCAGTCGTCACTAACTGGCCGTGTCACCTTCTTATTAAACGGTAAAATGTGACTTTACTTGACTTGTGATTCAGAATAACAAACAAAAAGGTGGGTAAAGTGTTACTTTCTACCCAGTGAGCTGACAAACAACCCATACTCTTATAAATCACATATTTTAAGCAGCCAAATAAGATAAAACATCAGCTTATAATAGCTAACCAGTGTGAGTGAAATAGGGCTCTGTTAAAATATTGACCACTTTTAGATGACTTAGTGGAATAAACAGGCTATATATTTGTGGCTGTATGAGAAATTATGAAATACTTATATAATAATTTATCCCCAAAAAAGCAAATGGGCTGTTATTTGTTTCACCACAAAACTGGGACATAAAGCAGTCACCACTGTTTTAGACTCTCCACTCTTAATTGTGGAGGATTATTTAACTGACTGGCCACAATGAAGGGGAATAAAAAGGCTTTTGGACGTGTTCATACTGGAGACAGAAATGCCAATTGATTCCTGAACTTAATACAAAAGTAATGCAGAATAATAGAGTCCAGTAATGTGCTCTGTTGGTAGTGTTTGATTACATAATTATATTTATTTTAATTTGGTTTTTCAAGAGCATGCAGCCCTGACTTTAAGGTTTGAATAGCTCTTTTTAATTCAGGAAACTCCTAAAGGGAATCCTATTTTGCTGACAAGTATTGTGTTTTTTTTTTAAAATAATGTGGTACTTTATTGATCCCTTATTGGGAAATTGTCTGTTTTGCTCATTGCACTTTGCAGGGAGGACAAGCAAAAGATCAGGAGCTGGCAGGGATTCACCGTCCCGCTTGAGGACGCTTCCCCGAGTCCGGATGCTCGCCAACTTGGACGTGTGAGCCCAGATCATGTGGTTAAAGGTATTATCAAGAGGATTTTAGCTTTATTTGAAGCACTAGTTGGCCACTTTTACAAACGTACCACATATTATGGCACAGATCCACATATATACAAAGTAAAGCATACAAAGAGAGGCAGAGATGCATGTTATTTCAGCAGCAGACACCAGTCACATTAAAGTTTCCATACCTACATTATAAGATTTGCGTTGTCTTCTTACATTGTTTTTGTTTTAAAGTTTTGCTGGGCTCCAGTGCTGCTAAAAGAAGACAATGTACAGGGTCATGGCTCCTGCTCAGGCTTCCTTTGCGACATTGTTATTGCAGATCAGACAGTGGGGTTTTCCTCAGCTTCAGTCAAACCTTCTCATCAGCCCTCGACCGAGAAACTAGAGTTCAGAGGAAGTTGTCATCTGCATACCTGCTCCACCCCATTTTGTGCAAATCTAGATGCATGCACGGAAGTTAGGTTTCAGAACGAGAGGACACAGGTGGTTAGATGCTGTGCCAGGCTTTTGTTCCTGTCATGAAGGCTGGACGTACGTAGGCTGCCTTGTGGAGTGAAAAACAAAGTGAGAAGGGACAGAAAAAAGTCTGAAAAAGTGCCGCGAACCAACGTGTCTCGAGTTGGACAGGTGAAATCCAGGGATGGGGACGATCCCGAACGACATCAGGAGGCTTTTGGATGGTAACTTCTTTATATTCTACTGTAATAATGTTTTAAACAGTTTACTTTATTAATCCCACAACGGGGAAATTCCCTTACAGTTATATCTTTAAGTCCTGTTATTGAATAATAGTGTAACAATGGAAATATAGTAAAAGCAGGCATGCTTATCACAACAAAACCACATTTAAAATGTACAAATCATATGATTATACTAGTTTTGAACACCTATACAGTTAAGTGACAGCCTAAAAAAATTATGTTGTGTTCACAGCTTTCTTTTAATTCTGTATTTTATTGCTCAGATAATTCTTGCACTTTGTTGTACAAACAAAAGCAACCACTAGAGCATAAAAACCTCATATTTCTCACCCCTCTGTGTGATATACTGTAACACGGTGGCACTGTTGGCACTGACCACATTTGCATGTACTGCCGGGCCTTTGGAAGAACATTTGCATATGTCAGTACGTTCGTGTAATTTTGAAGTGAGGACATAAAGAAGTTGATCAGATAAGTGACGTTAGCCAGCCTGTTTCACAAGCATTGGTCTCGCATCACTGAATAATATTACGATACGGTTGCAGTTCAGTTCAGTGACATGGTGAAAGAAGATGATTAATCATAACCACTTCTTTCTACAGACGTTTGAAAATGTGACGTCTTACCTCTGACTTTAGATTTAATTTTCACAGATCAAGTCACACACAGAAGAAGCAATGTAATAGTGAAACTATAAGCAGCTTAAATATTTAATCCTTATAGAAACGGGCCAACTAATTTGGAATATTTTAAAGACTTTTTCATTAATTAGCGTCAGTGAGACTTTATTAATGTATTTTATGGGCATAAAGCTCTACTGGTTTGTAAAGTAGAAGCACTGACAAATATATATGTATAAAATCAAGGTGGTTGTGCTGTAATGCTTTATATTGTACAGGCGCTAATGTTGTAGTATAAAAGTGACGGCACAACTTCATTTGAGAGATAAAACACCGCACAGCAGTTCTTAAACATATTAGACTTTTATTTTGAATGTTATACCTCAAGGTCTTCTCATTGAGTGACCATCAGACAGTGATCTGCAACACCTACACGTGGGACTGTTTAAGTACATAATTTGAGTAAACGATGAGGTTTCTAACGTTATAAACGTCTTGTGTGTGACAGTGTCCTCGAAACACGCCTCGAACGCCCTCCTTACAGTGTCTTCTTCTTCTCCTCAGACTGCGAGCTGTTTATAGCAGATATCCTTCAAGATGAGGACCTCAGTGAAAATTCCCAAGAGACACGAAAAATCTTACTGAATAACTTCAGGGTCGTCCACACAAGGTAGGATTTTACCTTCAGAAGCAGCGTTAAATCAGCGTTTAGCAAGAGGCCACAGGAAGCTGCTCTACTAGTCAAGTGTCACAACGTAATTTCACGACACCATTATCTGACTTTTTGCTGTTAATACAGCAGAAGAACCTTAATTGTTGCTGTAATTGCTTTAAACACAGTTTACAAAATTACATTTGAAGGAACTCATTTAGTCTAATGGTGTCACCTTCAAGACTTCTTGCAAGACGTTATTGCTCTCATTTATTGTTATTAAAAAGTTTTTAAAGCTCTCATAGAATAATCTGTTTTGATCAGGATCATTTAATCTTAATATCATTTCCAAACAGTCCATGAACCCCCCCCCCAAAAAAAACTGAAAGTCTAGTACGAAGTGTGATAGTTTAACTCCGGAAACTACTCCACTGGTGTTGCCTGCACTGCATGATAAGAGACGCATGCTCTGTGGTTTTGTGGTCTTCTGTGCAGGAAGTGATTACTGAATTTTTGAGAAGCAATACTGGAGCTGTTGCCTGAGAAATTAAAAGCACAAAAAACTTTTCAATTCAGTGCAAAAGATTTTGATGTATGTCTTTTTTGATTTTACAGAAACCCTGAAGAATTCCCCTTTTCGTGTAAGTAAAATTACTCTGAAGAGTCTCTATCATCATAGTCTCACATCCTGCTGTATCTACAGTGAGTGGTTTCTGCTGAGTGTGTATATGTGTCAGTGACAGGTTTATCACATACTACTGAAAGTTAAGTCTTAACACTTTACTCACTCACTCCTGTTTGCTTTATCTCTCTCTCTCTATGTCACACACACACACACACACACACACACAGTGGACTATAGGGAGGAAGACGGTTCTGATGACAACCGCAGCTCCAGTCTCGGCCGCTCCGTCCAATCAGACGACGCCTCATTAGCCTCTGACAACCAGGATGATGGAGGCCCGGAGTGTAAGTTAACACTCGTACTGATACTGATTCCCTGTGTGTGTGTGTGTGAGATCTTTGTCTATTTGCGCAGTGCAGAGATCTGACTTCAAAAGACACCTTCACAACACCAGTTTAAAAAAAAAAAAGGGGGTTTTTGGTTTGGAGCAGCAGACACTAACCCGGATTATATGTGGCTATATGAGTTCACACCACCTAGTTGCAGTCACCCCAATAATAAGACGTACACCTCTATACATACAGTGTGCGAGGGAATTCTGCACCCACAAAGGAAGAGGTACAAAGGAGGAGTCGGTGTCACAGGAGACGATGCGGTATTCCTCTGAGAAAACGAACGAAAATGCAGTTTTGACACACAACCCGTCATCAGCCTCCCTGGCACACCTACACTTCACCGCAGGAAGCGCAGTCAGAACCCCTTTTGCTGTGTATTGTCGCTCGCCCTCTTAATTTGAAAAAACAGACCACATCTGTGAAGTACTCTCCCCCCCTCTCCTCCCTCTCCTCCCTCCTTCGCTGGCCTCCTACCTCGCTGCCTGGCTCCGGTGACATCAGTGACTCCTCCTCCTTCTCCTCTCCCTCCTGGTTAGTGCCAGGTAGGCTCCTGGTGCCAGAGAGAGAGGAGAAAAAAAAAGGGGGCTGGTGGTTTCACAAAAGGCCCGATTGGGGACCTAGAGCTCCCTCCAGTGGCGGATCCTCCTCTCCTGATCTGTCCCCTCGAGCTGTGTGTGTGTGGACTGTGGGAGGCGAGGAGGCCGGCCCACACAGAGAGGAGGCTTTGTAGCTGCAGGCTAATGCAGTGATTTATTGACCCCGAGCCCCTCTATTCTTTCACAACCGGGTTTGAAATACAACACTGTACCTGAGGGGCCATGTGTGTTCCATCCCTCTCTCCCTTTATCAATCTTTCTCTCTATCTTCCTTCCCCAGAGTTGCCCTCCCTCCCGTTCAGACTTTTTGTATTTCTGACTCTACGCGCCGGCTAATAGCCTTTGACGTGACGTGCCGCAGGTGGGCATTATTGACTCTGCTGCCTCAGGTGCCCATCTCAACCCCTGTGCTTTATTTCTTCTCCAGCTCCTTTTTTCGTGAAGTAAAAGCTGGAATCGTGTGGAATCTCCCAATAAGACAAAAGAATATGTTGTCGCCGTTTTAATGCCAGCTGGAAGTACTCAAAACTGATCTCCTTATTTGGAGCTGGCTTAATGAACTCTTCCGTCCTCTGCCCACAGAAGAGTAACCGCCGTCTTCCTCCACAACTTTGGAAAAATAGAGTAAACTAATCACGGCAGATGGTGGAAAGACAAGACCACGAGACAATGATCATTCATTCTTTTTGGAATTGTTCATTTCAGAATAAACAAAGCGAGATTTCCTCGGGGGAAACAAACAAAATCAAACTATAAAAATGCTTAAAAAATTTCCCTTACGGCTGTAATGGTAACACGCCCAACGACAAACTACGCCGTCTGTTACTGCGGATGTGATTGTTGTTAAAGCACGAACATTGTGTCACACCATTGTTGGCGTTAAATGTGAAAAATAGCCAATTATGCAGCACTATCAGAACTTTTCTTTTGTTCTTTCATTTGCATTTTTGCTTTGAATATCGACTGCTAATGTCCCTCGACGCTAAACAACTACATTTTATCGTTGGATCAATAATCATAACATTTGATTCTGTAAGAAAAGAATCTGTCTTTTTATTGGTGGGAGACGGCGACCGTGTTAGCGCAGTGAATGGCCTGTGTCCTCACTGAGAGGGCATGTGGAGTTCATAGTTCATTCTCTGTTCACTGCCAGTTGAAAGAAATGGCTCACACGTTTTCTGCTGGGCGGTCTTGATTCAATGGAAGAGGGAGTGTTTGTGGAAAATAATGGCATGAGCACTTAATGAAATCAGTGTTTGGTGGAACAATCATCCACTGCGACGATTTAGGTTTATTTGAATTTCTTCTTTTTTCTTAACACTAACCTTTTGTTGCATAAATTAATGATAATTTTCTGATTTAGTGAAAAGGCTAAAGGTAGAAGAGTTTTTCTCTCTCTCTCTCTCTGGAGTTTAATCGTATCATTTTATTTGAGCCTACTGTATACAATAGAGACTTTGTGACTTGGAGAATGTATTATCCGTGGTAATCGACTGCCTGCCTTCTCTGCTCTCTGTTCCCTAACCAGAGAGTGAGTGAGTGTGAAGTCGATGGTTGCTTTTACACGCGGGAGGAGCCTGTGCCGTTTGATTAGATGCGGTGGCCTGTTGTCTTCAGCGGACTGGGTGACACCAGATTTGTAATGGCTGACAGGAACAGATGGAGCCTCCATTGTTAGCCCGGGTGTCTGCATGGTAATGTGAACTGAGTTTCACCCGCCGACCGCTCCGGTGACCTGACCGCGCCTGCAGCCTCACCCCAGCCTCGTCTGCCCCCTTCAGCACCCTCCACCTCTCTCTTGCTCTGCTATTCGGGGCTCACACACATTTTTTAGGGTTTGTTTCACTCCCTCCATCACACACTCGCTGCCATTCCAGTACATTTTGCATTCATAAACAAATATATGCACAGAATTTCTCCCTCTGGCGTGTAGAATCCACTTTTACACGTAAACAGACCCCAGGAGACAGCCGCAGATGTGGCGCTTTTAGCCCTGTCATGCTGTTTGCAGGTCAAGTTTACGAAGTTGAAATTGTCTGTTTGTTTTTCTCTGATTGGGGGAGCACTGCTGGGCGCTCGGGGATGTTTGCGGCGATGACGGAGCACCGCAGGAAGAGCTTTGTTTCAGGAGGTCGTGATCGTAATGAGTCTTGTATCGTGTACCATAAAGTCTGTATAGGTGTGGATTCATTTATTCACAGAACGTTATTTGTTATTGAGTATCGTATTATAATTTACTGTATAAAATGCGGCATATGTTATGTGCATTTACATTTATAGTAAATATCATTTAAGTTGACATATAATCGGTCATTCTTTTGTTTATTTGCTCGATTAATCAATTAATCATTTGGTTTATAAAACAGTGAATAGTGAAAAATATCCCTTTAAATTGCTTGTTATCAGTTTACTGCGTTTGACATTTTCTTTCTTGAAAAACTATTAATTAATTATTAGTTTTATCTCTAAGGGCAGGTATGCTTTGTTGTGTAGGAATGTGACCCCTTTTCGGTGATTACAGTGCCGGCACAATTTCCTAAACCAATTACTTGCAATATAATGCAGTAGGATAACCAATTTGAAGTTATGTCTCGCTGTTGCCTATTTCTCATTTGAATATGAGCAGCCAATGCACAGTAACAACATTATTACACGCTGCTGGGAAATAGAATATTAAATCTAAATTTTGTCATTTTGGCTGAAGCTCGAGAAAGCTATGTAAAGTGAAGTGCTTCTGAAGGTGCACGCCCGGGTCTCTTGGCTGGTGAACGATGCCAGCTGACGGATGGATGCTTCATTAGGGGGTTAATCAGCAAAGGCGCCAACTGGCCCTCGTCTGTGTTTGGAGTCAAATTAAATGGAGAAAGAGCAAGTTTCTGGGCGTTTCACATTTAAAGAACGAGAGACAAAAATGACATAAATCACTGTCACGCTCACTTTTATACGCCGCACCTGGACAGTATTTTGGGTCTGCGTTGATGACCTCCTCGCAGGTTTGTCGGCCTCTGGTCGTGTTGTCTGAACTCTCGACCTTTTCGGCCTCTCGCTTGGCCAACCTGTGATCTGTCTGCACTCAGCCCAGAGTTGTGTGCGTGAGTGATCTGTTCCCTTTCCCGTCACAGAACGCTCATCGGTCGAGAAGTTTCTTTGGACTCTTGCGATAGCCATCTACTGTATCTATCCCGTCAGAATATCTGCCTGGGGATTAATTCTTCCCCGCGTTCATCGGTGTATGGATTTTGTGACATTTAGATAGCGGCTGCTAGTTTGCAAGGAAGCGAGGGGATATGTTAATGACCTCCAGTCTTTCTAATTCTTCTTCACTCTCCTTGCCTTTCCTCTCTCAGTTGCTGGCAGTGTGCTTCTCTAGAAACACACACACACACACACATCACGAGCTTTTGGCAACACCGTTGGCCATATAGCCATCCATGCGAGATGACACGCGTCTTTTCCAGGTCACATTTCTGATTTCTGACTTAGTTTGAAATCGCGATAATAAAGACAGAAGTAATAAAGCTTACTTGATAGATTCTGATTAAGAGAGTCTTTCACTAAATTTCCACCATACAGACCTATTATACGTCACAGGTCAAAATCTTTATTCAATTGTTGTCGCATCTCTGATGGATGAATAACTGTGGTTAACGTCAATGTTCGAACAAATACAAAGTTTCCCTATTAGTGCATCTGAATGTACACAACCGCATCTTAGCTGCAGCAAAATCTTCTTGGTGTTGCTGTTACATTATTATAAATTATTAATTATAATTAAGAATCAAAAGATACAGTTAATTCCAGTGTTGCTGTCTGGTCAGATGCTATGAGACAAAGACAAGGAAGTGAAAGATACATTTAAATATTATAATTTGCAGCTTTATCATAATACAGTTTTATAAAAATAATGTCACTCTGGATCTTGCTGTGGTTACTGGACACATAACTGGTTTACAGTCGAATCATAATTGTGGTAATATTTTTGTTTTGTTTTGTTTTACTTGTTGCAGGTTGTTCAGTACCAAATGTTTCTGGCTCCTATTATCAGCCAGTTACACACTATTTTTGGTGATATGCTGCGTTAAATTTAACATTAAATTGTTGTTGTGTGGGTTTTCTTTTTTAGAGATCTGATTAGGAGCTTTGAGTTAACCAACAATACGGTCAAAATATGATCAACATTAAGCAATAGCATGTAAGAGGACAAGATGACTCAATTTTTAAAATATTTTTCCCAGAAAGTTTTCTGAAACCCTGTGTTTCTCCTTAGGAAACTGGTGCGTCACCGAAGCACTTTATGGGTTACCGTTTAAATTATGAGTCATGCAAAGACCTTTGTGCAAAATAGTTAAAGTT